TCTACCCAGGGGGACAGCTTGAGACTCCTGTCTCCAAACAAAAAAAGAAAAAAGAAAAAAGAAATTAAATGATGGACAATATATTGGGCGGCACCTGTGGCTCTAAGGAGTAGGGCACTGGCCCCATATATTGGAGGTGGCGGGTTCAAGCCCGGCCCTGGCCAAAAAAAAAAAGATGCACAATTTATCAATGTCACCTGCATGCTCACAGGTAGAAGAGGTCTGATCTACCCACTAAAGTTCAAAATGCCTCAGGATTTGCTGGAGGCAAACACACTTCTGCCCAGTTTTCTTTTTTTGAGATAGTGTCACTATGTTGCCCTTAGTAGAGCGCTGTGGTGTCACAGCTCACAGCAAACTCAAGCTCTTGGGCTTATGTGACTCTCTTGCCTTAGCCTCCCAAGTAACTGGGGCTACAGGTACCTGCCACAACGCCCAGCTATTTTTTGTTGCAGTTTGGCCAGGGCTGGGATCTAACCCACCAGCCCCGGTATATGTGGCCGGCACTATAACCACTGGGCTATGGGTGCCGAGTCGTGCCATGTATTCCTCAGGCTTCACTCATAAAAACAACCTTCTGAATCACAATTTGGTCTCCTGACTAGATCCAGCCACCAAGGATGAGGCTGTTCTGTCCAAATGAACACTGGCAGGTTTTCAGCCAGATAATGTTTCTGATTTGAATTAAAAAACTGACATCCTGGCTCAGTGCCAGCCACATACACCAAAGGTGGCGGGTTCAGGCCTGGCCCAGGCCTGCTAAACAATGACAACTGCAACCAAAAACAGCTGGGTGTTGTGGTGGGTACCTGTAGTCCCAGCTACTTGGGAGGCTGAGGGAAGAGAATCACTTAAGTCCAGGAGTTGGAAGTTGCTGTCAACTGTGATGCCACAGCACTCTACTGAGGGTAACATAGTGAGACTCCGTCTCAAAAAAAACCCAAAAATGACATTCCGAAGCATAAACAGTCTCTCATGTGTGGGATTTTAGAATCTATGTGGCACACCAGACCCATGCAAAATGCATCCTCAGGTGAGGCCAGGTTTACCATCTTGGCACACCACACTCACTCTCCACAGAAAAGAGACTGGATGATTGGGTCAGAGTCTTCTCCTCTAACAGGCTAACTTATAGATGGTAATCACAAACAAAATAATGTAAAGAACAGAACTATATATTCAAAGACTACAAGTGTGGACAGACTTAGTTGTGTACTCCAGCTGAGAGCAGCTCTTTTCAAAGTTGAAACCCAGCATACCCACCTTGGTTAGATTGTTCTGATATATGGTGTTGAGGCGGCTCACATAGGCATCCCGCTTTTCCTTAATAACACTGCAACGAAACCTGAGTCAGTTCTCACAAACAGGATTTCCCTCTTTCAGTTACTAACAGGGACATCTGTCCCTGAACACTCCTAAGGAGAGAATCACAGACTGTCAACAATAACTGCAGTGAATGAAAGTTTCTGAAAATAGTCCTTCCTTCCCCATGCCCATCTGCTTCTCCACGTGTTGAGAACCCTGATTCCACTCAGCGGGGAATGCTCGGTTGGCTTCCTCTTTTGGCATAGAAGACAAAGAAGAGATGCTTCCGCACGATGCCTAGGATGTGGCGGTCAATCAATAAATATATGTTGAATAAATGAATTTGCTAAATTTTTTTTCTGAGACTGAGTCTCACTCTGTCACCCTGGGTAGAGTGCCATGGTGTCATCCTACCTCATGGCAACCTCAAACTCCTGGGCTCAAATGATCCTTTTGCCTCAGCCTCTGGAGTAGCTGGAACTACAGGTTCCTGCCACCATACTCAGGTAATTTTTCTATTTCTAATAGATACAGGGTTGCTCAGGCTGGTCTTGAACTCCTGAGTTCAAGCAGTCCACCTGCCTAAGCCTCCCAGTGTGCTAGGATTGTAGGTATGAGCCACTGTGACTGCCAAATTGCTAAAATTTTTTGAAAATGTGATGGCTTC